GAAGGACTTACAGTTCGATTTTGGGTAAATTATTTAGCGTGCAGATAGAGCACTCAAGGAATAGCAATTACTTGGAATTTGTAACTTGACAAACAACTAGAATTTGGGACTTACCGAATTACTGATATCTTGGCTACATTGATTTGAATCTCTGTACAGATAGAGCACTCGAATTTAGCTAAAGGATTTAGAGTTGGATTTTGGGAAAACTATTTAGCGTACAGATAGAGCACTCGAAAATAGAGAATGCTTCATTTTAGATGGACAGACATATAAAGGCTCTAAAATAGAGAATGCTTCATTTTATATTTAATGGTTGGCATTGCTGAAAAAAAAAGACATTGGATGAACCTTCCACTCAATTTATATGCTCTTTAAGGAGTGGACCTCATGGTTCAAGCTCAAGATAGTATGGGATGATCACTATATAGAGAGAGTGTTGGATTTATAAGTGGCATCATGTTTTTGGCCAACCCCTTCCAGGATGGAAAGGGTGCTCTTTTTGTTGAAGAAATGGCTGAATGCCTCATATAATTCATAAGATGCATACAGAACTGTGGTTAAGCAGTGCAACCGCTATCCACATAAACAAGCTCCAAGACAGTCAAGGAAAGAATGTTAAACTGTCACGTCCCGTTGTTTAGATATGATGACCTCCACCTAGGCTATCTGATGAATGCTTCATGATCACCCAGTGCATGCCAAACTAAGGATGCAGGACTCTTTCGGACATTGTTTAAAATCATAGCATTGTGCTCATTTTGTATATTCCATAAACTTTCTTCTTCTTTTAGTTCATTTGGGTGGGTGATATTTGCATATTTGTCAGGAAAAAAAGAAAAAAAAAAGGTTAAAGTTCGAGGACAAGAATCTGAGGTAGTTGATGGTGCATCCTGAGACAGATATTTTGTACAGCCAACTCAAAGTGGAGAGTTTTACACTTTATATTTACGTCCAAGTTCACTCCTTTCTTTTTATGATAACAGAACTACCATGATGCCTTCTAAAGTCTTAAATTACAGGAAGATTCTTGTCAGCTGTATACTAAAGAAAATATGAAAATGTTCTTGTACTTATCACATTATTTCTACCTTATGAATAAGATATCTTGGTGATATGAGGTCACAGTAAGTCAACTCTCTAGAATTAGTGAAATATCTGCTTGAGAAAATAAATCTTGCTTAGTAATGGATTCTGTGATTATTAAGGTATACTATCTTCTCTTAGGGCTTATTGGCCCATGCAAGTAATTTTTTTCGATTTGAATTCTTGGTTCTTTCCCCTTTTATGCACACTGATGAATGCTAGTATGATGTTGGGTTGCATATGGGCCAGTTCATTTCTGTTTTTAAGGAATTATTATACTAAAAACAACTTGTTCTATTTTCAAATTTTGAAACTTAACTAAACAAAATTAAAGAAGAAAAACCAAATTGATTCAGTATTTTCCTTTTGTTTGTATTTGAATTTTGAAAAATATATTATATGATTTTTTTATAATGTATTATAGTATCAATTACTAAATTGGTGAGCATAAAATATCTTGCATTTATGTTTCGATATCTGTTACCTAGTTTCACTCTGTTAATGGTCATTGTTTAATACTCCACATTGAGCCAGATATATGTTGTTCTAGTTCTTAGTTTTAGATTGATTGAACCAATTGATGCAAATTGAACAAAATCCAACTGTATTTTACTTTGATTGTGGTTCATTTACACAACTTCACTGCTAAGTGCTCAATGCAATATGTGTGTTTCTCTCAACTACTGTGAAGGCGAAGTGAACCGTTTTGTGCCTGGAAGTTATTGTATTGCCCATCCTTGTAGTTTTACTTTTTCAGGGTTGTTTGTTTTCTTTTTGTGATGTTTGCTTACTAATTAAGATTACAGTAAAACTTTGATTTGTAATGCTGAACTTCTCTTTCTTTATCAGGGGGTAGGTGAATTTCTGCATTTGCTATGTATTATTTTGGGAATAGGCCAACACACTCATAATGTAAGTGCTCTATAAACTTTCCAGCCTATATTTCATGATGGTATGAAAGAATGGAGCTGTTGCAAGCAAAGAAGTCATGATTTTAGCTTATTTTTGGCAATTCCAGGGTAGGCTGCTCCTTCTGCTAACTCTGGTAACAGCATGTTAATTTTGGAAAATCAATAGCCTTGTTTAGCTTTTCTTTTTATTGTTCGCTACATCTACCAAATGTGCTTCATTGTTGAAGTTGTCATTGCTTTAGTAAATCATATGCCCTACCGGTCCTTCACCTGGTAACTTTAGTTCTTCTGTCCACTATTAAAGATGTAAGACAGGTAAACATACAACTGAGAAACCAGTTACGAACATTGTGTCTGCAAACACTCGAAAGCCAGTGCCAGTTCAGTCTCCTGCTCAAAATAAGAATAGTGTTGATTCTTGTTCAAGGTGCCGCCAAGGTTTCTTCTGCTCTGATCATGGTATGTTGTTTCTGATATGAGATATTGTAATTTTTTTCTGGAAAACACTTGCTGGAAAGTTTAGATATCATTAATTCTTTTTGACATCACCCTCTTGAAAACATAGTTTTTGACTTTTCCATCAATTGTTTATTTCAAGATTTTAAATTCTAATGTTTTGACAATTTGTTGAACTGATATGGCACCAAAATACCAGTTAGTACACTAACCTAATCGAGTGCCACTGTAAATATAAAAAAAAGAGAAAATTAACAGTATACTAAATGCTAGTGAGTTCTATGGTCCACTATTGGTGCTTGAGCAGACTGATTAATATTGATGGTTACATATCAGTCTGACTAAAGGAACTGCTTGTTATACTTCAGGCTCACAAGGGAGACCTTCAAAGCCAAGTGTGGTCATCGAGACAACAGATACTGAGAAAAGTCCTGCCCCAGTTAAGAAAAAAGTTGGGATAAATGAACCCCAGACATGTAGAAACAAAGGATGTGGGAAAACCTTCAAGGAGAAGGACAACCATGAAACTGCATGTGAATACCACCCAGGCCCAGCAGTTTTTCATGACAGATTGAGAGGGGTAGGTTCAGTTGCCTTTTCTGTGGTTGGTTCAACTAGTCAGTCATCGAATCATCATTGAACTCATTCCGAGCCTCTCTTCTTTTCCCTTGTGCAGTGGAAATGCTGTGACATCCATGTGAAGGAGTTCGACGAGTTCTTGAGCATACCTCCATGCACAAAAGGTTGGCACAATGCAGATGCTGCATGACTTTGAGTAACCTAGCATTCACAAGTGTCTGCTGTGTTCTGTTTGGCACCCATAATTCTGTGTCCTGGATTTGAATGTGTTCTGCCCTTTTTTTCTTTTCGCCCGAAAACCGCAACTTATGTTTGCTTAAACCTGAAACAGATTTGAACCAATATATCATTCTCATCAGGGTCTTCATTCTTGTGATGTGTTTGTTGTGGATTTCGCTTGTATTGGGATCAGTTTCATACATGTTTGCAAATTTCGACATTTATGTCATTCATTAACTCACTCTTACACTTCATAAGCAGGGGACTTGATTACTACAAAGTTATGATTAACTAAGAACTCTTGAAACCTACTAAATTCTAATTTTGTTTGCCTTTCATTGTTTGAACGTATAAAAGAGTTTCTATGCGTCATTTCCATGGATCAAACTCGTTGCTCCGTTTACCATCAGATTATTTTTCAGGTTTTCAGTTATTATTACCCTGTTCTTGGCTTGTCTAGTTGCTATTGTTTCCTTACTTTTCACTATTAGTACTTCTTTATAAAAGTAAACTAGACATCCTAAGTTGATACATAAGTGATTGAGGTTAAGTTTGAGTTCATATGTGAGCGTCGTATCATATGAATCAGAGATAAAAGAGGAGGAACACTATCGCTATATATTGATGAGAGATAGTGAGAAGGATAGTTCTAGTCGAGGAACTTGCAACCGCGAGCATCATGGAAATTAATGGGAGCCATGCGATTAACGATGGCAAATATTGATTCGACTAAAGCTATGCCATATAGATCTTCGCATCTATTCTATTGCAAATCTAGATCATAAGTGTCTCCTTTTTACTTTACTCTCTTATACATGCAAAAGTTTTACTATCCTTTTTCCCTATCTTTTTCACTGTCTTTGTAACCTTATTTTATGAAAATAAGAGAGTTTAGAATGATGAAAAGAGATGACAAGATCTTACGAGATGATAACACAACAGAATAATAATAGAATAGGGGAACATAATACACTCACAAGGTGAAGATGATCATAACGTATTACAGAGTATGATGAAATTATTTTTTAGAAAATAAAAGATGTTACGCGGATATAAAGCAAAAAGAGATGCGTTGTGAAAAATAATTGAAGTTTAAGAATTTTTATAATAATAATAATAATAATATTATTATTATTATTATTATTATTATTATTATTATTATTATTATTATCATCGATGACTAAAGCGCAGTTGTGCTAAGCCCATTAGTCCATTTACGTATACTTCTGTGAGGGGTATTGTTGTCATTTAATTTACCACAAGCGCAAAGAAAAGACACCGTAAATACTATAAAAGGGCGGAGGCGCTCGCAACCTGGGCGACCATAAGGGTTTCATTTTTCCAATCCAAACGAAACCCTAGTTTTCGCGGCGCCGCCCTCGCCTTCTTCCGCGCCCACCATGGTAAGCGACGGGAATCCTCTCATCACCTCTGTTTAGTTCTTCCGCTTCCTGCTCTTCTTCCACGCTTCTCACGGTGATTCATGTAGCTACTACTAACCCGTATTGCCTTCCCTCTTTTCTTGAACGGTTTTGGTGGATCTTTATCTGCGAGGTTACATCTTATTTATGATGTTTGAGATGGATTGGTTCGAACGTGTTGAAAGATCAAAGATCAATTTACTTTTGATTCTCGGTTCATCGTTTCATTAACCGTATAATTGAGTTCATTGTCTATTGGATATGGCTCTCCAGTCTGGAAGAAAGAAGACCAGGGAGCCCAAGGAGGATAACGTGACACTTGGGCCGGCTGTACGAGAAGGGGAGCAAGTGTTTGGTGTTGCTCACATCTTTGCATCGTTCAATGACACTTTCATTGTGAGTTGCAACGCCGCCTGTCACAGGGAACTGTTCTGACAAGACATATAACTCTATCTGCACTTTTAATGGCTTTCCTTTTTTTGGGAACTTGCAGCATGTTACAGATTTATCTGGCAGGGAAACGCTGGTTCGCATTACAGGTTTGTTCTAACTTTCTATAATTCCACGTGAGATGAATTCATACGAAATCTTTGTATATGCTTCTCTAGATTTTCAAGTCTACTTGATTTTTGAGTAATATTATCATGTTTGATAGCTTTGTACCTGTCCATATCATCTAAATAAAGCATTTCTTACTCAATGGAGTGATTATGCCTGAATTATTTGTGTGGTTCATGTTATTTGATGTTTATGCTTGGTTTTGTACGCATGGTCCTTAAGATCGCCTTCCTTTTACTTTGTGGAAGCGTTTTGAGTCATAACCATGCAAGACAAATGTCATGGCCGCGAAGAGTTCTTCTTTGAGACCTTTCCTCATTCTTTTTTAACTTTCGGGCCCTTCTTTAAATTGGCATTTGATTTTCATCAAATATGAACACTGGAGTTGAGCTGTGGTTCTTTTTGCTGCTCATCTTTTGTGATTCAGTTGATGTCTCTTGCCAATGCTCATGTGAAGTGCCTATTCCAAGAAGGAGGAACATATTCGGATTGAACTTGAAAAAGTAAGGAATGTGTCGTACAATGGTTAATTTTATGTTACTTTTGAAATGTTAAATCTCATCTTGATTAGATAGGTCTGTCATTCACTGTTTGAGGTGGGCTGTACTAGTAATTTAGCAATTCATTTTAGGAACTCTCTATACAAGATGTCTATTCTTATTTGGATGTTTTGGGAGTCTGACACAGTTAATAAGTTTGAGTTATCTAAAGGATATTTCTAAGGACTCTAATTAAGATATTTAATATTTCTGTAACAAAGATGTGTTCAAATTTTCAGGTGGCATGAAGGTCAAAGCCGACAGGGATGAATCATCACCTTATGCAGCCATGCTTGCAGCTCAAGATGTGGCACAAAGATGCAAGGTCGGCCATAGCATTTATGTTCCTGATATCTTTGCTCTAGTTCACTGGTTTTATTAATGTTTATATGTGCTATGTTATATCTGTAGGAACTTGGGATTACTGCTTTACACATTAAGTTGCGAGCGACTGGTGGGAATAAGACGAAAACACCCGGTCCTGGAGCTCAATCTGCTCTCCGAGCGCTTGCCCGTTCTGGGATGAAAATTGGCCGTATTGGTAAACTTCAATTGTTTTACTATTTCAAACTTCTTTATTATATATATATATATATATATATATATACTTTTTTTTGGTATCTAAGATGTCTATCCTTTTCCAAGATGCATTTTACCACATTTGCTGTGAGTTGGTTTTGGCAACATGTTTTGCACAGTATGTCAATTGTGGCGATTATACAGTAAAATTATATGAAACTGTGACACTAAATGAATTGTGGTGTAGTTTTTGGTCTATAAGTTTCAGTAGTGTTGATTCTGTTTTGATATGCATTGTTTAAACATTTTGTATTGACAAGGGTACGCATGAATGTTTAGGAATCAAACAGAAGTCTATGTTTCTCCTTAGTGATATCATTTCTATTGTTACTGGTGTTTCCGTAGTATGAATGTTTAAGAAGCACCATGATTGCCAGATTATTTCTTCAATTACATGGCTATTACGTGTATGATGTTTGTTTCTTCAATTTCTCTGTTTCATGTATGTTAATGTCATTGATCTCTTTTCATGCAGAGGATGTGACGCCGATTCCAACAGACAGCACCCGCAGAAAGGGTGGAAGAAGAGGGAGGAGACTGTAGTTCACCCAAATGCTGCGGAAAGAACCGTTTATTCTGCCATTTTAGGCTTTGAATCTATGCTGCATTTGAGGTTCATTCTAATTTTGTTAGGATCGAAGCTACGGCGGTAGCTCTATGTTAATTTACTGTGATTGAGATTTGAGTGCATGATTTCTGTTAAGATGATATCTTTTAGTATCATTTACATTAATTATGTTATATCTTTTGACTATCACATATGGAGATTTTCTAATTATGATATCTAATTGTTCTTAAATAAAAATATTTTTTTTATCTCAACAATCTCATAATATAATTTTTTTTTTATATTAATTTTTTTAATTAATTAATATTTAAAATTATAAAGTATTGTTGGTCTCATAATTATTTTATAAAATTTTCTTAAATATCAAACGTATTTGATGATTATATTAGAGTCATAATGCTTTTTGTCATCTTAATCTTCCTAATTTTATTCTATGAATAAGATTTTTATGGATCTTTTCATCTTATTGAATAATTGATTCAAGACATCTAAATTTTTTATTTAAAATATTTTTATTTAATTTAATTATATTTTTATATTTATTTTAGAATCATTAATATTACATTTTATATATTTAAATTTTATTTTATATAATTTAAAATATTTAATTTCTAAGATTTGCCTCCTTAGTTAAGCTTATAATTTATTTAAATTAGGCTTTTATCAACTAAGATTATATTATCATCAAATAATATATATTAATGAGATTATTCTTTTATCTTCTAAATTTTTTCAGAATATTAATGAGATTATTCTTTTATCTTCTAAATTTATTTGGATCTTAATAGTGATACAATAAAGCTTCACACTCTTAGTTATTTTTTATTTTTTTAATATAATTTTTATCATTAACTCTAGTAATTTTTATAAGCTTTACAATAAAGCTTATAATTTTTATCTTAAGTAATCCAATATATATATTTTTCACCAACTTAATTTATTATAAAAATTATAAAAATTTTCTTAATTTCTATCTTTTTCACCAACTCATATTTTAGCATCTTTTTAATATTCTTTATATATTTTAAAATTTTCTTATTTTATAATTTTATCAATCTTTAAAATATAATTTTTTAAAAAATATTTTTTAAAAATCTTTGTACTGCCATCAACTCTTTCTTATGGTTACACTTCAATCGTTAGTTTCATTAAGATTTTTTTAAGCTCATAATCTTTTTAGTTATCGTAATCTAAATAATATTAATAGTATCCACATTTAAGTTTCAAGTATTTTTTAATCTTATTTTTAAAATATATATATTGAAATCTTTAAAATTTTAACATCTAGTCATAATAAAAATTTTATTTTTTTATTTTTCTACAGTAAATATTTAATACTATCAAACTTATAATGATGATTCAATAAGCTTTTACTTAGATATAACTTTACAATTCTTACAAATAATTTTATCTATTTTTTAAGTAAAAAAATTATTTAACTATAATTATTATCACTGTTATAAGTAAAATCAAATGTTTATCCTTTTTCTTAAAGACTGACGGTATATATAATTATAAGATTATATAAAATTATAAATTTTAAAATTATATCATCATCTTTATTTCTCTCCTTATAACTAAGACCCTTATATACTCTTTTATATCCACTCAGATCTTCTTTCATTATTATAGACATTTCTTGAATGATATTATTTAATTTTTTTTAAGATTTTTTTAAAGCTTGATCATCAAATCAAACTCGATGATTATAAGTATTAATAATATTTAAAATATTTTATACTTTCATACATTTTAGGATTATAATTTTATTTTTAAAATATTTAAATCGATAATATTATTCGTTCCTTAGAGCAAAATTATTTGGATAATTTTACGAAACAAAAAAAATATTTATATATCTTTTGCTGAGAAATGTCGCGATTTCCAGCGGCGCAGCGCTCGAGACGCCACTCGTCGCCGTCCCCGGCCCTCTCTCCGTCCGGACCACGGGAGCCGCACTGGCGCGGTCATCGGTCCCTCCCCTCAGTTCGATTCGCATGGTCCGTATGTAAAGCCCGTCGGCCCTTTGATCTTCCCGCCCTCCTCTTTCTCTGGATTTCTTGACGCCGTTCTAGGGTTTGGTATCGTCGTCATAATCTTTCTACTCTTCGATTTGCCTGCATAATCTTCTCTTTCTATCTCCTAAGCTTTCTTGACAGGCCAACTGCTGGAGATGTGGCCTAGTTTTCGTTGCACTGAGAATTAGATCCCGAAACCTGCGAGTCGATTGGTCGTTCTGCTTCGACAGAGTCCGGCGTCTGTTTTCCGAGAAACTCGGTGTGACTGATGTGAACGACAGAGCTACTGCAACACTTCCATTGGAAACTAGGGTTAGTTTTGTGGACATTGGCGTAGGTTAGGGATTCAGGAAGAGGTAGCAGAATTAGAAATTGAGAGCCTCAACATAACCATGGCTGAGTATGGCAAAGTGAATAGTCATCAGAATGTGTTTTGATGCCTTTGCACACAATACTATGATAATATTATATATCATATAGGAATAACGACGTGATCGACACCTCGGAACCATGTGATTGACATCTCACCATCACACGATCAACAGCACGTGCAGAGCGGGTCGAGTGTTACTACACTCTTGATTTGATGTTACCACACTCGGGATTTGTCCCTTCTTCACACATTGTTATGATAATATTGTATAACTAACCATGACAAAGGAATAATGACATGATCGATAACTTAAGCTTTGCGTATTTGTGGATTGGAGGTAACAACTCCTTTTATACCAGAAAGTTAATCGAATCATTCGAATCACATATTAACTTAAGCTTTCGAGGCTTTATTAGGAATGCCCACGACACAGGCTTGTAGGCTTTGGAAGCACATGAGGACGAATCGTTTATCAACTTTTCAAGGCAGAAGTGTGAAAGAAGGAAAGGTAGATGGGTTCATCATTTGGTGTTTCGGTAGATGACAGGGAAATCAAGAGGAGCCATCGAGCAAGTTACAAAAGAAAGAAAGGTTTCATCAGATGATGAAGACTAGAGAAATTCTTCAAGCATACTATCACGGACTTAGCTGGAATTGCCTAAGTCGTGAGGTACCCTTATAGCCAAGACACCAACTTAGCTTGCGTTGTCTAAGTCGCGAAGCACTCTTGCGTCAACTTTTCGGACTTAGTTGGGATTGCCTAAGTCTTGATACGCCCTTGCGATATACGTTCGCAAGGTCAATCAGTTTGCAACCTCACTCAGGTCCCAAAGGACCTGTAAAAGAGAAAATTGATTAGTTCAAAGAACGAACGATGGATAAGTCCCGACGTCTTACGAAGAGAGAAGCTTTACAAGCAATTCAGCGAGCACCTTGCGTGCAAGAGAGAAAACAAAGAAAGGAGGAAAACAAGGACTTTAGTGGGTTGAACGAACAGCTGCAAGTCCATAAACAGCTGCTCACCGGGCGCCGGGCGTGAAGACAAGTTCCCATCAAGAAAACGTGCAAACTTACGAAGATTGTTCAACGCCTAATAATATACCAAAGCCCCATCCAGCCCTGTGCCACCCGGGGGGTTCCAAGGTGCTGAGATGACTTATGTTTTGGGTACTGCAACGAGCCTACGGCACACGAAAACGGAGCCATTTTGGGGCTTTTTGGCCCGACGTAGTGAGCGGTCACACTATAGCGCTGCAACCTGTTCGAACATGTATTTTTACAAGCAAAACACATAAAATCAAGGCAAAACAGGTTATCATGTCTTTGTTCAAGCATGCAAAAGCCATGAACGGTTTGTTGGAAAAAGTTATTACGAGTACACAATGATCGTTCGTGACAATACCGTAAATGAATAAATCAATAGAATGCATAGTCCACCTCCAATTCTTTCTTTCTAAAGTAAATGTTGTTGATGAGTAAGACATGAGCATATTCGACCTTCACAGTCAACGGGATCGTACCTTACAAACTCTTCGTGTGTTTCATCTGGCTTCTTCAATTTAGACAAAACTCTTGGTTAGAGCAGCTGCTTCGTAGAAACACCTCACAAAGTCTTTGAATACGCCACATCTCAACCAAGACATCACAATGGAACAATTTTTTACCTGCAGAAATCATCATCGAAGACAACAGCAGGGGCGTTCGGAGATCGCCGGGACGCCACTGCAGATCTGCGCCTCATGGGGGAAAAAGGTCGTCATCTTTCCAGAAAGGAAACCTACATATAATGTCCTGAAAGAAAAAGTGATCCGCTGGCTCGTGCGGATGAATCAATCAAAGTGACATCACGTAGTATTTGCAGTCGACAAAAAGAGAAGATGATGAAACAAACATGACAATTAGTTCGATCGAAGTGTTTTTCTACATGACTAGCTGGCGCTTACGCAGGGCGGTGTCTGATAAGATCATTTCAACAGCCCCCAACAAAGGGGAGGAAGCAAAAACATAATTGAACGAAAAGCTAATTTCCTAGTCAGCCATGGCTGAGATAAAACAACAGTACAAAACAAGACCCTGAGGAATTATCACATCACACTACTACTTTTAGGGGCCTCTGTTACCAAAAACACCTGTCCTCCAACCCATCAGATTCTGCTGCTGTAGGGTTCCTAAGTTGGGCAAGCTATACAATTGCCCCTCGACATTAGGCTGCGAGTTGTATTGGGTGGCCTGCATCAGATTAGTTGCAGGTGACAACAGTGGGGCCTGCTGCCACCTTGGTTGATGCATGACTGCAATCTGTGGGGGGAGGGGCGGCTGCTGCACCACCGCCGGTGGCAAAGCTGCCATGGGCACAAGCTGCTGTGAAGGGGTATAAGATTGGGGTGGCAGTTGCTGTGGTTGCAAAGGCAGCATCTGATGGTTTACATGATAAGACTGCAGCGTTTGCTGCTGATAAGCATGCAGTTGTGGATGCTGCGGTGGTGGTGGTGGTGGTGGAGGAAGTGCTGGTGGTGGTGGTGGAAGTGATTGTGTTTGAGGCTGACAATCCTGTTGTGGCTGCCATTCTGGAATATCGTCGTCGTCGTCATCATCGTCGACGTTCCATGGCTGGATGTTAAACGAACGTTTCTTTACACGTTCACTTTGCCCATACTTGTGTATCATTTCTCTAATGTGCTCGACCGGCCGAGCCGGCGGCGGCAGTACACGGGAACGGGTCGCACCCGACCCCAGGCGCCGAGAGGCAACAGGCTGGGAACCCTGTGAACTGCCACGCGCAAAATCAAACTCAGGTAAGTCATCCTCATCCCTGGGGCCAAAGCCAGGCGGTACATCCTCGGTATCATCTTCAGGCGGGAGTCGAGCATCGGCAGCCGGGAGAGAGGCTGCTGATGACCTAGATGCAGAGTAAGAATTGCTATTGTGTTGTCTCCTAGAGCTGGAATGTTTCTTGGAACTACCATGCTTATGGTGAGATGACACCCTGGGAGACAGCATTTCATGGGGCCTTCTCCACACCACCACGGCAAAGAGGCCATCCGCGGTCGTTGGGAGTGTCTCAGAATGCTCCTTCGGGAGGAACTTCTCAAGCATCTCAATCGTCCTCAAGCGGGACGGGCACAAATACAACTCCACCCCTGGTGCAGCCACTGCAAATCCCACTCTCTCATCGGCAATGTATGAGTCAATTACCTGCAGTGAAGGGGTGAGGAAAAAGGGTTAGATGGTTAGGGATGCAAGCTTGAGTCGGGTTTCTAATTGTGGGATACCTCGAGCAGGTTCAAACGTCCACTCTCAGGGGAACCCTCTTTCCAACAAAACTGGGCAATCTGCAAATCACAAAATGACATTAGTAGAAGAAGAAACAAAACTCTCAATATGTCGATGTTTCCACTTTTATGTGCAATTTCATCAACTAACTGAGCAAACAGTCATAAAGAATCTGACCGAATTTAATGCCCAAAGTTGCAGAACTTATAATCAGGTGATCTCATTGTGCGTTAACGACCTTTATTACTAATTGTCTCAAGATAGCACTAATGAAACCTTAAATGAGAAAGCGCGTCCAGAAAGGAGACCATGAAAGTTGACCACGATGATAGGGGTAATGTTAATCAAACTTGAGGATACTTGATTATATTAGCAAACTTGAGTATACTTTAAATATACTTGATTATATTTAAAGTCTTCCAGCGCATTTGTTTTTGCTCAGTTGACAGAAAAGGAACAACACACAGAAAGAGAAATATTGAGAGTCTTGGGTATATTTTTCCCTTGATAGCTTTTATTCGTTCATCCATCGGCTGTAAGCCATAAATGCATCAATTCAACCTACTCGCAAGAAAAATAATGGCAATATGGCTGAGAAAATACCATGACTGCACGGCTCCGAGACAAAGGAAGCTCTTTGAGGAATTTTTCAAAAGCATCTAGTCTCACTCTTCCCTTTATCTCAAGCAAGCTAGGCCATTCCTGCGTGGATGATTTCTCGCCGCTGTAAAGCAGCAGAATGGAAAAAAAAAAAAAAACATTAATGACCAAAAATAGCTAGACATTTAAAATTATAGACACTATCCCTAAGAATAATAAAGGAATGAACCTTGATATTAAATTCAGGACATCTCAAACTGAACATATTGTCTCCAACAATAACATAGGGATGAACACGACATTGAATTTAAGACTACTCTGATTGAACAAACTATCTCTAACAATAATAAAAGGGATGAACCTCAATGCTAGAAGCAGCACAGTTTACCTTTCTGCTTTACACTATATGCATTATGGATAAGAATAAATAAGAAACATAATGGCATAAATGATATTTATATCAATCGATTGTCAAGATATTATAACATTGAAATATGCTAAAATTTTACTACAGCTCAAATTCAAAACCTAACAGTAATCAAGTCCATCTATATTCAAAATTTATTTGTATGACCAATGTACCTGATCTTGCTAAACAACCTAATTGTTTTTGCTATATGTCTTCTCGTCCAATAAAAGTTGAGATGATTTCCTATTACATTCATTCCACCAATATCTATCTTCATTCTAAGAACATGAAGGTTACCTGAATGCTTGCTTTGAAGCTTATTCCAATCTTTTAGCATTGTTACTAGTAGAAAGCCAATCAGACTTTCATAGTTCCTATCAGCCAATTGTTTTCCTTTATTAGTTAACAGATGAAATTTCAATTGTTTTCCTTAATTAGTTAATAGATGAAATTAATGTATACTATTGGGATACTGCATACCAAATTTGTCTCATTCATTTATATTCCTGCAACCGAACGTGATAAGCAATGTCATAGAAATTGTGGCTGAAAATCAGGTTTTAAATTACAATGAAATTTGATATTTTTTTCATAATTTCAAAACAATTTCAAGGTCCATCTGACACGATATTTACATATTTATAACAGATGTAAGACTTTCTTGCATTCTACTACATAACAACATCAACCTATTTTGGACCACAGGTCAATGAACAACTGGAAGGTTCAAAAAACATAGCCATAGGGTGGAGATAGTCCTAAACTGTATTTTGGTTTCCATCTCATCGCCACTAGGAATCTTCGTGAAAGGTTAATTAAGAAAAAAATTCCAGTGGCAACGTGGTACACATGACTAATAAAACAAGAAAACATGCATTGGAAATGCATATACACATAACACTAAAAATATATAAAAGCTACCGGAAAAAGAAAAGAAATTGGTATTCGATAATAACAAAGTAAAACTTAATGATAAACCTTTTATAAAAGACATTCACTGTAGCAACTGAGGAAACATTCAACTGAATTAAGCCTTCCCATATTTTGTTACCCGTTGCTGCAACTTCAGTGGGACAGGTATCTGACTGAATATTAGCAGAACCAGATTTCAAGTCATCATTGTCCCTTGAATGGTCGACATCCATTTCATCAGGGCTAACCGCAGCAGGATCTTCAGAATTATCATCTGAAGAGTGCAACTTTGTTTGTATGCCTTCTTGTGGTGATTCCAATTTAGACACAGAACCATCTTCTGGGGAATCCGGCTTGGGTTCCACGCTACCAGATGCAGAATCTTGTTTATGTTCCATGCTGTCCGACACAGGAAGTTTCTCAGTCTCCAAGCAATCTAATTTCTCTAAGCCAGAACTAGGAACTTCCTGTGAGGAATCCACCGGCAAGTTCTCAAATGGTGGTTCAGAATCAAGGGCTTGCATAAACTCATCTAGAGAAACTATTGGAGGTAGCAACTCTGGGTCTTTCAATTCACCGACCATGAGTTCTTGCATAAGATCATTCTTATCTAAGTCACTAGGAAGATTTTGATCACCTGAATCAATCTTTGTAACTGATGAACTTCTCTCAGATGACTTGGGTTCATCATCTTTAAGATCAGATTTTGATTGTTTCTTAACATCTTCCTTTGTTTTTGAAGGAACACGAGAGATGACACTTGCCCTGAGTTCTACTTCCACAGGGAATCTCTCTGCTTGTTCAACTTCAACTTGAAATTCACCTTTATGAGTTTTCTTTACCAAGCGCCTTAAATCAACATCTGAATCTGGCAATACCACCATCTGTGCAAGCTCTTCTGCTTTGGCCAATCGCCACTGTGAAAGTTCCTCTGAAGCCAGTTCCTCAGCCGTCATTGCGCAAAGGCGCTCTGGTGCAATCTCACCAGATAGTACACGCTCCCTCAGTTCTGGATTACTACGATCTTTTAAGTTGAACAATAATGACCTACCCTTCTCTTTGTATTTCTTATTAACTCCTCCAAATAACCTAAAAAGTTCTGCTTCTATCCTAAATGCCAAATCTTCTGCATTTTGAACTGTTGTCCCCTTACCACCAGTTTCATGTTCATTTGTCATTTTGAGTCTCTTTTGATCACTAGTCACTGAATCATCAACAGTCTCAGCATCAAGTTCAGACACCCAACAGAGTCCATGACCCTGCAAAAGTTCATCTTTAACAAAAGATTTGTCATTTGGTACTTCATCTTGTACCAAAACATCCTTTGATTGAAGGGCTTCGACATCAGATCTTGTTAAAACAGTGTTGACAGTTGTCTTTTCCTTGGAAGATTTATCACTAGCTAAGCTTTGAACTTCATCATACTTTGGAGCAGATCCATCAGCTACCAAAGTTTCTCGAGCAAATTTATCTGAAGAAGCATCTTTGGTTTCAGAATTCAAATCACCAGATGGAATGACCATTTTTGCTTCCGTGCTTGAAGTCTTGCCATCAGTACTTTTTTCTCCAATTTGTTGTTTACTCTGCTGGTCAGACACAGTAGCCAATGATGCAGCCAGTGACTCGCGTAGCTTTGATCTCACAGATTCAAATGACTCAGACTGGACCTTCCGAGGTAGCTCCATCTGCGCTGGGCGTTTATTCATGGATGAGGACTGTGAAACCATTTTCATAGGCATAACACTTTGAAGCTTAGTTGGTGCTCGAATCTGGATAGGCCTCTTATTGGTAGATGACAAGGGCTGCGAAGCAAGATTTGAGGACATAGATGGTCGGATATTAAGTGATGATTGTGGCCCTAATACCGGTCTATTTGATGAAGATAACTGATCTAAGCCAACAAAAATAGGCATTGGAATCTGACTTCTGTATGATGATTCAATCTGCATTGGTTGGTTCCTGATAGAAAACAATTGATAAGATCCAACATTAAGGGGCACAGGGACTTGCATCCCTGTTTGAACTAAATTTCTCTCTGCAGAAAACCACTCTTGCGATCCCCAATTAACCGCCATTGGAGTATACATGGGAAGTAAATCAATCTGTGCAGATTGATTGCCAGAGGAAAACTGCTGGGAAGATTGTTTAGAGGACATACTGGTTTGCCCCTTCTCTGTTGGCTCCATTTGATTAAGTTGCTTGTACTTCTATTATAAGTTGCCTAGAAAAAGATTAAAAACGCTGTAAATAAATCAAGTCCATAAAGTTTTCTATGAAATAACCAGAACAACTGACAACCTAAAACCAACATGAAGACCAAGTGTGATCAATATTGAAACCCTGAGGCCCCAAAAATGGATATTCTGAGAATTAGGGGATCCGTAGCTGTCTTTACACGATTATCATAGTTCAAAAATGAAAAAAAATACAAAAAATAACGTCCTCAGGGGTTGCTCAAAGGCATTTTAAAAAAAACTGTTGGATTCCATGAGCAAGAAACAAAAATATTAAATGGTCAACACTCTGCATGAGATTGACAAGGTTTAAGCCTATGACAATAAATATTCCCTTTGGTTCACGTGCATAAAATAACAAAAAAAGGTTATTTCAATACATCTTCTTTCTCGACATTTACAGCATCAAAGGAAGTAAAAAGTAATCAGATAAAAAAAAAGGCATTCCTATGCCACAACTATATGCCTTGACAATTCTCCACAAAGCATCATGAGTAGTACTATGTAGAGATATATAAATGTAAAAGATAAATTGCATACATCAAGTAAATGTGCCCCTCTAATATACCACAACCAACAAAAAATATCCCATCAATAGGGAATACTATGGATCTAACACAACCTTCTCTAAAATCAGTTCCTAAAGCAGGTGCTTCCTCCATCTTTCTAAATACTTCCTTGAAATTCTCATCCAGATTCCAAGATGATCTTCTCTCATCAGCACACATGTCACCTCAAGACAAAGTTACCTTTAATATCCATGTTGTACATTAGCATACCAAAAAACTATAAAATATGATTGTTGATCCTGTAAAAACAGATAAAAAAGCCTCCTAATGAATCTTACAGTACAGCATAATTGAAAAATAAGCAACAATACCATTGGTGATTGTGACTTTTTTAAATAGCATAACCTATAAATAGTATGCTTGTAAGTTATAACAGATGAGACAACACGTCTGTGCATCTGTATAAAACTGTTATTGACTATTTTAAAAAAAATCTGTCTCTGGACTCATGTATTCATGCAAATAAAATGAACCAATTGAAAGACTAAATGCATCAGTTAGCTGTTTGAGAACTTGATCAAATATTTCTCAATAATTTAGCAAATGATATAATTTCTTTTTTAAGACCCACTTAATCATATACAAAATAAATTTTCTAATCGTAATAAGATATTCAGCAAAGAATGCAATTTGGATAACTCACTCTATGTCATCAAACATAAACATACTACTATATATATATATATATATATATATATATATATATATCGCCTGAAAACTTCTGGTATTTCTCTCAATCATCTTAAAATACATTTCTAAACAGCACATACTTTCAATATGACCAAAGGTTCAAGCTCCAACCACATATAATATGAACGGAAACTAACAAATAGATTACGTGAGGTGGGGTGTGTTTGTTTGGATTATTGGTTACTGAAGTTGAGGAATATCTGAGAATATTTTATTAGACACAATAAAGAGGAAATGAACAGCTTCTAGTTTGACTAGCGATAATGCCCTTAATAGATCGACATAACAGCAGACAACTAGTTCTTATTAAATTAAATTAGACCTTGAATTTCTTGCACCAAACGACGTTGAAGTGACTAGAAAATCATTCGTTTTCTTCTGCCAAAGCAAAAGCATAAAATTCACCACCAAACTGACAGCTTCAATTTTTCCTCTGGAAAACAAAAACCAAAAATAATTCCTTTAACTGTACTTCAATAAAGTTAAGATAGCTCCTCGATGTAATCAACTAAGATAAACCATATCCGATTTATTCCATCAAATTCGATGACCGCTTTTACATATCCTTGCTCGTAATGAATAGGAAGTACGAGCACACACACGCAAACAATCCAGTGGCTTCCCGTGATATTGTCATGAGAATAAACCAAAAGTTTCTTGCTCAGGCCCCCAAAACAATTCGAACATATGTAGACCAGTGACCGTGGGAACTGGCACAGAAATCAGGAACAATATTTCATAATTGTTTGTCTACATGGGCTCAATTGAAGAAACCAAGCAACCCAATACAAAAGGCACCAACAAAGAAACATACAAATCAAAGCAAGTCGGTTTCGTTGCCCCTTGTAGAACTCTTTGGAGCCAACAAAACGACCTACCAAAACCTAACAAGCTATGACGTTACTCCAAGGCAAGAAAACCTCCATCGCCTTCAACCGCTGTTCATAACCCTAAATCTACTCAGCAGCGCGGAAGCAAGAACCACAAATCGAAATCCACACGAGGCAAGAGAGCGGTAGGAGAAAATTCGACCTAAAGGGAACCGGGGAACAGAGGAGATCGGAGGGATCCGATACCTTAGGGCACCGGCCGTGGCGGCAAAAAGAGGAGGAAGGACGATCTGCACCGAGATGATCCAGAGCTCGTCCAAGCCGACGACGTCAGCGGCGGGGGAGAGGAAACCCTAGCGATAAGCTATTGTTGTGGGCGCGAGCGAGCGAGCGAGGAGAGCCCGGGTGGCGCGTTCGGCGTCGGGCACTTGGTGAGCTAAGGCGAACATGTGGTTTGCCCCTTAATTTATACGAGCGAGAGATAAAAGTCATATGCTTGGAATTCCCGTTCTCTGCTACTCCGTCGCCCACCTGCCTCGTGAATGGAAGCAATATCTGATGGGCCCCACAAAAGGCTCCGGTGCGAAACGGGTGACCGCAAGAATAAATCGACGCATTTTAAGGGGATGGATGTTGGGCTTTGGGTCAAACCCAATCGGGGGGCTCCGGCCCAAGACGTATCTTTCTTGGGCCACAATGGGTCCACGACATGAAATGCGTCTGTAACCAATAAAAACGTACCACGTGATGTTGAACCTAAATAAAATTGAATTGGACCGGATCGGAAGGTTGGACCGGCAAAATTGGAAATTGAACCGTTGATCGGCTCAATTAAACCCCATCTCTAGTTTTGATGTCTTTAATTGATCTCTAATCTAATTAGTCAGTAATAGTGTTCTTTGAATTGGATCATATAACATATATTCTAATTTGCTTCAATCTTCGCTTATCTTAACTAATATAATATATATTTCCTTATTTACATCTTTATCTCAAGCATTTTAAATAATTTTATTATTTCTTTCAGTAACAATTTTTTATATGCATATGATCCCAACATTTTAATGAACATTGGTAGCTTATGTATTCCATTTGACATGACATAAATCAATACTTTGCATTTTAAATTAATTTATAAATATATTAAGCACGTGTCAAAATATGCAAACATATTTAAAAAATAAAATATAAGTTTCCCATATATTTTCAAAAAAAAAGGAACAAAGTAATTGAGACCTATTTTCTTGCTAATAAATATTTAGATTTTTTCTGCTCCATCTACCTTTAAAAAAAAAGAAAAGAAAAATAAAAAGTTGCACAATAGACTGTAGGGAAGAAAGGAATTAAACATTTTCCACTCTCATATTTATACAAATATTTTTTGACACTGACAATTGTCCTTTTTTTGTTTTGATTAATATTAAAATGTGTCTTAGTGGAGACTCCTATAACAAAATATTTCATGATTCTTTAGCCTATGCACCAACCAAATGTACAAACAACACAGGGGATATGTCATGCATGGAATTGATGGGTCATTAGGATTCTCTCCAATTCCACATTCAATTGCAACCTTCCATTCTCCACTTCTCTTCCTTGAAGATTGTTCTAGACAACCATTGGAGTTTGATGGACTCAGATGCTTGTGGATGAAGCACACACTGGAGAGAGAAGAAAGAGAGACACATGGACAGGTGTAGAGGGAGAGGAGGAGATACCAAGTGTAATGATTGAGGTGGGCCACAGTTGAAACTAGAAAATTGAGTGGGTCCCATCCAAGTGCAAGATGGAGCCTTTAGAGAAAAGGAAGAACAATAATAATTGCCAAACTTTAATAAGTTTGCAGAGTATCTCATTGGAATAAGATGGAAAATTACAATCAATTTGTGAGGGAAATGCATATATATATTCTAACAAAGTGACATCAAAACATCACTTTCCTACTGGAATGAATCTATGTTTCTCTTTCCTCACCCTTGAACTCATCAATATTGAAGGTAGAGAAGAAAAAGATGCAGCTTAGTTTTATTTGAAAGAACAGGTGATATCAAATTCATAATGTTTTGATAAATAAATTTGGTACATTATAATTATATTAATATTTTAGATTAAAAAGGATTTGATAATTGAGTATGACATATTAGGTGTAAGATTTAGTATATGAGTATAACAAGTTTGTAATTATTTTGGATGAATATTATCATATAGTTCATGCACAACAGATAGAAAATACAAAATTTATGTGACAAATTTTCTTAATTATGATCAAAATAGGGTGAAAATTCATGATTGTGTTGGAATCTGTTACAGTATCTTCAAAATGTTGATGATGAGCAAAATAGAGTTGTCTTCTTCCCTTTCTGTCTCCATTTTTTGGTGCCAATCTCGAGGTTTATTGTTTACTCTCTGTTGAACCTACAAAATCATTCCTTTTTACTATATTCTATTACTAAGCACTCCCCCTTCCCCTTTGCTGCCATATTCTGCTACAATCTCCGTGATTCCTACATTAAAAAATGGTTTTTTTAATTGGTTTTCTTCTCATTGGTATCGTCATCTTTGTCCTTTCACACAAATCCCTTTTTTATCAGTTCGTTTAGTTCTATGGGTGCTGGGATGAATCGGATTATGGTTTTGAGCTTTGCTTTCTCCCTTTGCAGGCCCTCATTAGCTCGCAGACTGAGGACTAGGGTTATCGGTGGTCGTCTCTACAAATGCTTGATGGTGTAAGAGAGGGGTTGCCGGTTGTGTTGTGGTTGTGTTTGGTGGATGCTTGACGCCTCGGCGGTGGAGGCGGGAGGGATACCATAAAGGTCAGATCTTTGGGGCAATTTGATTCCGTCAGCCTCGGAATTTCTTGGATCTTGCGATCGTGTGTTCGAGAGGCCGCTGCTAATGACGGAAGTGGTCGATTTGGTTGCAAGAACTTGTTGATTATATTTAATTTGATTACAAAGGTTGGATCTTTAGCCGGAAAAGGCAGTTATTACCTGATCGCAATGACCCCGGAGGACTGTATGTGTTTGGTGAAGGAGAGGCAGCCGGAGAAGGAAGTGGATGAGAATGGAGGGCTCGGGCCTGCGCATGATGGCGATGAAGGTGAAAGGGTGGATGGAAGCAATCACTTGTTCTTGAGAGAAGCTCCCATTTTGACGGAGGAATCTGGAATCTCCAAAGATTACAATTGTCAGGACAAGAAGGTTGGATCAAGGGAGGAATTGGTTCTTCGAAAGGACATGTGCAAGCAGGGGACGAAGCTCAGTAGGCGTGATCGGGTCGAACTGGGTTGCCGGTTTCAGCGGGCAGTGAGCTCTTGCGATTGGGAACTTGCATGGAACCTGCTTGTGCTGGCCAAGGCACAAGCTCTGAATGATGTGCTCTGCGTAGCGTTGGACTCTGTATGGTTCTTGACAACGCACGAAGAACTGGATGGCATTACTGGGTTGATCAAGAAAATTATTGGCGACGGTGCGAATGATTTCACCAGGGCAATCCTTAGGACGTCGTTCCTGGCTTCGTGTGTTTCTGCCTGTCAAAGCAAAATGATGAATTTGACGGATGCAGTGGGTGTCACGACCCAAAGGTAAGTTCCCTATCGATTCTGAGACCCATTCTTTCACACCAGGTCTCTTGATTCTGTAGGAGATATCTTAGGGTGCCTATATAGATAGTGAATGGTTTATATATTGGCTATTTTGAAGGTGAAAAAGAAATCAAACTTTGTTCCTATGAACTTGAGTTACTCTGTTGTTTCTATGTTAGGTTGCATGAGCGTCTGCAAGAATGTCAGGGAGACGAGGTTCTGAAGGTTGAAGCAAGTACCAAAGTTCAGAAATTTACAGAATGGGCTCTGAAATGCATCAGATTTCACTCTCATTATCAGGAGAACAGGGGACGAAGAAGAAGAAACCAGAGTACGATCGTCGAGGTCCAACTTCAGTTGTCAGCTTTCAAGACATTCTTGGAACTTGCTGGTGATCATCTTACAGGAAAAGATTTTACCGAGGCTTTCGATGCAGCATGTTTCCCTGTTGCTCTCTTCTCGAGCTCATTTGACCCTGGTTGGGCATCAGGAATCTCAGCAATTGCAGTCCAAGGGTTATTGGGGATGCTGGTAGAGGGTGGTGCAGACAATGTAAACCAATGCTTTCTGGAAGCTTCAAGATTTGGGAGTACCGAACTCGTGCGGATCTTGCTTCAGGTAATTAGTCTTCTTTTAGTTTATGTAATCTGAACACACTTGTGTAGTATCTTTACTTTGTTCACTAGCCGACTATCATTTGCACCAACCAACATTGTTCTAATGTTAGTAGAAAGCGCTCGACACGAAGATCAAATGTAAAAACAATCACCTGCTATCATTTTGAAAGTTGTTGTTGTTGGAGTATAAGTTGATACATTATTAGACTTTCTCATATATATAGAGTTAAGCTTTTAGATGAACTCTGCAGCAAATTCAACAAAATTTCATATTTGGGCACCCAACCACATGAGGGGAATAATTTAACTTGCTACATCTTCTAGCCTAGCGTTCAAATAATTTAACCTGCATTGGTGAGAGCCTCATGCAGTGGGCCGCCTAGTATTCACTGTTTGAAACTAATGCTAATGACAGGTCCTTCCAAATAGTTTGACCTCTTAAAATAATTGAACACCCAATCATTATTTTATCACTTTTATCAGTCGATCAATTGTTCAACTTCTAGGAAACTCTTTTTTTCTTCATCTAGTGTTTCACCAAATATAAGTTTTTCTATGGCACTCACTAGCCTTTACTTCTTGTTTTCATTTTAGCCCATATTTGGGAAGATTAAAAGCACCTGCAGTTGATTTTGTTGGGATCTCAGGTTTACTAGGATCAAGGAGATTCTTTCTTTTCTTCTGACTCAACATGTGATGTAAAATTGACAGCGACTTAAACGAATGGCAGACATCACAAAGACAAATTTTGGTTGATAACTCTATTGACCATGAAAGTGCTAACCATTTCACAGTGAATGAGGATGTTCTGTATGAATAGTCTGCTAATCACTTGCTTGAAACAATATCTTTATGGGCCTGAACACTTTTGGCCTTCTCTTTTACTTATTAAGATGCTTGCGTTTGCTTTTTTTATTATTGTACTTGAATATTGAGATATCCTCTCTTTTTTTTTTTTTTGAATGTATGAATGTCATCAAACCAATGGTGTATCTCAATATATGTATATATAATCTGTTTAAGTAGTATGCCTTTCGTGAATCTCAAGTTTCGGTTCCATATCTCTACATACCAACTGTCATATGACACAGCTTGGCAACATGTTCGTAAACATGGATTTAATGCTATCATCTTTATGGCCTCCTAAATATGCTATTCCTTATCCAGATTGCTCAGAGGAATAGCTTGGACATTGATGTTGATCTTGCACTTGTCTTTGCCTCTCACTACTGCAAAATCAGAACTATGGAGTGCTTGGTCGAAGAGGGAAATGCAGCCAACTTACTGGGTCCTCTGGTGCGAGCATCTGAGAGAGGGTGCATGCAGGTTGTCCAATGGTTTGTTAACCAGGGATGTGGAGACATGGATCTCTGCCTGGCCTTAATTGCTGCCACCTCTAGCAGCCACTTAGGTGTTTCTGCTTATCTTCTCTCACAAATTCCACATCATGTCCTTGCTGCTGTTAGCATCGAGATTCTAAAGACGGTAAGCGAGAGAAGTCGAGGATCTCTCGATGGTGTTGCCTTTCTTCTCTGCAATGACTTCCTTGGTGACCCTACTGCAACATATGCTGTGGCTGACAGCATTGCAAGCTCCAATGATGAGGTTGTGGCACCTGAGTTGAGGGCTTTTTTGAAGGAGCACTGGTCTGAGGATGCATTTGCTGAAGGATTGAGCTCTGGTCAGGACCACTATGTAAATTTCATGAGGATTCTGCAAAGAGGCGGCTCACCCATCTGCCTAATGGACCTGCCACCACCCCTGGTGACTGCCATTGTATACAAGCCTCTGTATAGGGAGTGCACGGAAGCAGGTGGGAAATTGCTACCTCAAAAACTAAGAGGGAAGCTTGTGGAAGCAGCCAGTAGGCTTGGTGGCAGGCAGGTGGATAACGATAGCCCAGCAAAAGAGCTTTTGGCAATTCTGGAGCATCACCTGCCCCGCCATTTTCTGCCACTATGACAACTGCTCACTTGTACACACTCGTAAGGAACAGCAGATGAACTTTGCTTTAGCCCTTTGATCCACGGATTCCCTATGCCTTTTTTCCTGTGTCTTCGTGTTCAGAGTGCCGGAATAGTTACAGTGGGTGTCACAGACATCCTATGGTAAGTTCAACACAGTATATCTTGATCATCATCATTCGGGTATAACATCATGAGAATATCATTTTGTTCGGCAGCGTCATGTCCGTATCTGACACGCATGGTGAGTTCACAGCTTCCACCCTTGATGACTTGAGAAAGTGCAGTTTCTTTAAAGTTTGCCATCAGGCGTAGCCGAATAAGCTGTTCATAATAACAATTTAGAGGTTTTGTGTGTGTTTTTCTTGCTGCCTTGCTTTCCTTTACATAATTGCAATTAGTTTTGACCATCTTGTTTGATTTGCAGGATTCTCTTCTGTTGGTAGATGTGATGTCATGCACTTGTAGCGGGTCACAAAGTAGCCTAATTCCCTCATTGAATCACTACCACATCTTTCACTTTGTGCATATCTTATCCTCTCAATTTTTTATGCCCGAGTCATGGGTACTTTCTTTCTGATTTACTTATGACAAGCATCATTACATCTAGAAGCTTGCATCGAAATGATCCCGCAAAAACTTCTTTCTTGTGTGCTATATCAGGCAATGCTGCTCCATGCTAAATGGATCATTTAGAGATCACCTTGTGCATCACCAGCTTCACTCGATAGGATGCAGTCACCGATAGCAAGCATACTGATACCACATTAGATCAGCATATCAAACAGTCGATACCTTCAGAACATTTTCAAGGCTTTCGATGCCATATTGTCTCTTTTTGATTGATTTCATCTTTTACTTAGCATAAGGTTTGATAGCTGAAAAAATGGTAATTGTTACTGGATGTTATAGAAGACTTACTGTCCTGATTTCAATAATCTAAACCAGTTCTGATTTATTTCTGTGGTTACAGCAGATCCAATTGTTCTCTTTGTACTGCTACTGCTAGTTGCAGAAATTGAATCATGTTGGCAGTGAAGAGTATTAGTACTCAGGAAAACATGGACATATATAATCTATATGTGAATCATGAAGACCAACATCATCATAGTTTTGTCTTTAACATCTTTCTTGTAGAAGTCTTTCTTTATCCATCATATGTCTCCACTAGTTGATCAGTGAATATGTAAAGACCTATGCTACCTTAATGCATGTTGAAGGATACATGGAAATTTTGTGAAGGCAGAAAGGAATCTTGTATCTGCTTCAAAGGACAGCATATATGGTATCACTGTGAGGAACACACCACTTGTTCAACCAGGAAGAAAGAACATCAAATCTAACAGGATAAATGTCTCTGAATTACCAGTGTAAATTTAGATAACATTCAATTGTGTTTCTTGATAAACTATGTTTGTAATTCGTCTCGTATTTACCACAACAACAACAACAACAACAAAAGATTATTAGAAAGATCTTCTTTTTAAGTTTGAATATATTCGTTTGGAATCCGAGCTCTTCTATTTTCTACTTTATCTATCTTTTCTTTTGCTTCCGACTTATTTTCTCATTGAGTTGAATGCAGGTACAAAATAAATCTGATCGATTTTTTCGATCAAAATATATTTTGGTTTTTTCCTTTCAATCAATAAAGAATATTTTTTTGTGTGTATGAATCGATATTGTTACATTTGAATTCCTTATCTACGCACAATTTCTTTGGATCAAAGAAAGAAATCTATACTCGTCTTGTGCTATCTAAATGAAAGCTCACAGAATATTTACAAGTAGGAGGATGCCATCTTTCGTACGTCCGAAGGCATAAAAGCCAGGAAGACGAGCACGCCGAGAAGTCCAACAGGAAGTAGCAGCAGCAAGGAAGGCGGAGGCGGTAATGGCGGCAGAACCAGTGGCAGTATCAGCAGCGATGCAGTGAGGAAGAGGAGCAGCAGAAGTGATTCCACGGTGAAATAGGCAGCAAATGGAGGAGCTCCGAGTTCTGGTGCCTGCGGTAGACTTCTCCTATGGTCGATGTTGGAAGCCATTGCCGATCTGCTCCTCCTCGTTCTGCCTTCCATGAAACCACCACAGTGAGCTTGTTGTAGGTGAATCTGGTCGTCTGGACCTCCCGAATCTGAGCTCGGCAACTCGAACTACGTTTGCAGGACTTCAATCAGATCACCTGCTCACCAAAGAAATCAGCATTCTGTTACAGCACATAGGCTTCCGCGAAAGGAAGAACAACTTCACAAAAGGAGAATCTAACATGAAACAAAGAAATCATTGCCATTCGAATACCTCACCTGGAATGGAGTTCCTTCTTGAGATCACAATCAACAGCAACACAGCAGAATAGAGAAGACACAGAGAGAGAGAGAGAGAGAGAGAGAGAGAGGAGACAATGTTGAGCACGGCTGCAGCAGTCTTTATATGGGTTGGGGGGAAGTCTGAAGCGTGTCAACGTTGGAATTATGGGTTCAGATGCAGTGAATCCCATGTGTTCAGCGTGGAATTCTCATGCAGATTCAGCGGCGTTCTTTAGGAGGCGCGATGAGAAACGACAATCAAAAGATTCAGATTTTAGATATGATAATATACGAAGAACGAATTATGTCGGATCAAAATTTTTATGATATTGACTTCTCTCTTCTTAGTGATCTCAGCTCGCCTCGGCCTCTGCCAAAGTGAATGATGCTGCTAGCGGAAGATGGGCACATCTGCTTTTAGGCAGGTTGGAAAGGGAGAGGAAAGTCCGAGGCAAAGATGGTGGGCTGAACGAGGAAGAAGAAGCCGAAAACCATGAAAGTGACCATCGAAAGCACTTTCCTTGCAAGTTCAGTGTAAAAACAGAGTCAGCAAGCAAGAAAAATACAACCACTCCACTTGACATTGCTCTCCATGAAAAGGTCAAATTCTGAAGCAATGGTGATGTGATAGATTTCTACCACTCGGAAATCCTCAGCTTTCAATATCACAAATAAATTAATTGAGAAGAACAAAAATTGGTGATAACTGTCATATTTATTTGATCATTAAATCGAGTCAACTTGAATAGTCTGAATGTTTATCATATTATTTGATCATCAAATTGAGTCAACTTGAATAGTCTAAAAGATTCGTCAAGGAAAAACAAACATTATTATTTGGGATTGATAAGATGGAGCGTCACGTCGAATGTGTCATCTCGAACTCGAGATGACAATTACCCATTCTTGCACCATCTGAAGTCGCACTAAATAGGACCATACGGTAGAAGGTCGTTCCAGAAAGTTCGAAGTGGCACTGTGCGATACTATTCCGTGTAGGTCGGTCAACGCTCATACAAAGGAACCTGGTGACGAAGAAGCAAGCCACTCGCCAAGGGAAAAGATAACGCCCGAGGGACAAGACTCAAACTCCACCCAACCCGACAAAGGCTCCCATCGAACGACAAGCCGCACGAACGATCCTGTGCATCAAAGGTCAGACGGCCATGGTTTGAGAGTTCAGGTATCAAAGACTACTGGGCAAAGGCATGTTCTTCGAGTCAAAAGCATGTTAATTGAATGCCATTACAACCACGGTCGTAATGCTACTGGCGTTCGATGTCCAAGCTTGTTCATCCACCATGAGTGAATTCTAGTTTGATTTCTCTGCAATCCAAGGAAGGAATGAGTCATCTTCTGATCATTTGGATGCATTGAACCGTCCAATTCTTTGACTACGGAGGAGAAGCTCTTGTGATGCACTCTCTCGTATGAGCCGACACAATCACGTTGAGAACGTTGACAACCGACATTGCGATTACGTGTTGCAGGGCAAGACTTTTCATGTTCATGTACTTTTTGTAGGAACAAATAGGTTAATTTCCATTGCTATTAGGGCTATTGCCGAGAAAATATCATTTTGTTTGGATGATATATCTCTTTTCAAAATCCTTAAATCATCAATCTCTAGTTTTAATATTCCAAAATACCCCTTAGAAAAGCTGTCATTTTTTCAGCCCAAATCCAAAATTGTTTCTACAAACTGTTCATAATATTTCGTGAATTAGTTTTTATCCACAAAATACTGTATATTATTCTTAAAATACTATATAGTATTTAAAAAATATTATGTAGTATTTTATTTTTAAAACACTATACAATGTTTTTGATATCATGATTTTTTAAAAAAAATTACTTTATAGTAAATTTTTTGTTTTAATTTTTCTTTTTCATTTTTTTATATTTTTTGATGATATTTCTCTTTTCAAAATCCTTAAATCATCATTCTCTATTTTTAATATTCCAAAATACCCCTTAGAAAAGCTATCATTTTTTCGCCAATTATTTATAGTATTTTCGAAATTGATTTTTATCTACAAAATACTGTATAATATTCTTAAAATACTATATAGTAGTTTAAAAAAATATTATATAGGATTTTATTTTAAAAACACTATACAATGTTTTTGATATCATGGTATACTTAAAAAGGTGATATTTTCTTTACTATTACTATTATAATTATATATAATTATACATGTCATTTTTAGATACATACGTTATATTATGACATTATAATTTGGATATATATATATATATATATATATATATATATAGTGGTACGGACATATGTATTTTATTTGTCAGACCCTTTTAAATCAACTAAAAATTATTTTAAAATAAAATAAAGGAATCCAAATGGACATAAATTTTTTTAATAAAAAATAAATGATAAAAATAAGATTTGAATCTAAAATTTTGTAATGATTTATTAAAATAATTGATAAGGGATCATTTAGTCGGTCGATCGATAAACGATAAAAAAATAATAAATGATAAATGACAAAAATAATAGTAGTTCATTAGAGGGATCATTATGCTGTGCACTCGTGGCAGCGACCTGTCTCGTCCTCGCGCTGCTTGCTGGACCTCACAAGAGGTATCCTCTCTTCCAAGCTTTTTCCTACCTCTTGTAGTAGTCCTCTTCATGAGGGTGTGGACCTCGGAAGTCTGGTGAATGCGACGGACGTCCAAAGTGGACTCCTCTCGCCGGAGCTGCCGTTGGCGTACGGCTTCCTCCCCCG